TTTCTTTCTTTCTTTCTTTCTTTCTTTCTTTCTTTCTTTCTTTCTTTCTTTCTTTCTTTCTTTCTTTCTTTCTTTCTTTCTTTCTTTCTTTCTTTGTCTTTCTTTCTTTCTTTTTCTTTTTCTTTTTTTTTTTGAGAATGACTCTTGCTCTGTCGCCCAGGCTGGAGTGCAATGGCACAATCTTGGCTCACTGCAACCTCTGCCTCCCAGGTTCAAGTGATTCTTCTGCCTCAGCCTCCCGAGTTACAGGCGTGTGCCACCACAACTGGGTAATTTTTGTATTGTTAGTAGAGATGGGGTTTTGCCATGTGGGTCAGGTTGGTCTCGAACTTCTGACCTCAGGTGATCCTCCCACCTTAGACTCCCAAAGTGCTGGGACTACAGGTGTGAGCCACTGTGCCCGGCCCTGAATACCATTTCTTAGATGGAGAAATTATTGTTATTATTTAATTATTTTCCCAAAAGCATGTAATGAGGACTTTAGAGTCAGATAAACCCAAGTTTCGATCCCGTTACCAGAGCTTTCTTTTAAAAGACCCATGGGCAATTAATTGAATCTCTGTGAGCCTCTGGGTCACTGTTAGTAAAATGGGGAATGGGAATATCTACCTCAGTGAAATAAATGAGTTACTATTTATAAAAGTGCCTGGCACATAGTCTGCACACCATACATTTTAATCACTTGATCTACTTTAAGTAAAGTAAGTAGAAGAAAGAAACTGGCTTGACTTCAATACCATCTCATTAAAGTCAGTCCTCACAGCTTGCTGTTTTGTTGTTAAGTAATTGCTTTTCGATGGTCTTGGCTATATTCATGCTTGTTGTAGAATCTTATCATATTTTAAACACATACATAATGTGAGAAAAACTAAAGGTGGTTCAGGCTTTTCTGTTTGGTTCCAAAACAAAGATTCTATTTCCTCCATGTTTGCAAACGCATAACAAAGGTATCTTCGTTTTCAGGTATCAAAAAGGTCTTGAATTCCATTGGTTCGGATATCGACAATGTAACTCAGCATCTTCCTATTCAGGATATACTCTCAGAATTCTCTGTTTATGTTAATAACACTGAAAGTTACATCCACAGAAATTTACCTACACTGGAAGAGTATGATTCATACTGGTGAGTGTCTCCTTGGAGCTGGTGAACTACGAGAGTGAACTTTGTAGAGAACAAGATAAAAATTCTGACATTAGCACCAGGATCATCTTATGACAGCAAATTGTACAAGGTCATGGCCTGATATATGTTAACCCCAGTTTATGTTTGTTAAAAAAGTTGAAGTGCTCGCTTAGACCAGGCAGCACATATACTAAAATTGAAACAATGCAGAGAAGGTTCACATGACCCCTGTGTACAGATGATACGCAAATTTGTAAAGCGGTCCACATTTTTTTTTTTAAGTTGAAGACTGGACCTTCGTGAGCCAAATATTTGATAATTTGCAACTTTGATGTCATTAGTGGCTTCTGGAATACTAGTTATAATTATCAAACTAGGCATGTAATGAGATTTTAAAGCTTAAAAGTAATTAAGAAGGACATCTGGGAAATATCCTTTTCTATTTTATAAACCAATATAAACATTGGTTTATAAAATAAATATGCAGAGGTTGGTTCTTACTGAAAGAGCATCCTTTTCTTAGCTGTGCTTTGAAACCAGTGAATTGCTCCTAGAGCTTGGGTAAGCGGCTGTGGTGCCCACTGGTTGTCCCATTAGAAAATGTGAGTGGTGGGGTTTGGCCTGGGGTGAGGGTGGTGGACATCCCAGCCAGAGCCCTGGGGAGGGAAGGACTTGGAGGATCAAGAAATTTAGAGGATCATCTATTATGTAAGATGCACTTCTGTCTCTGAAGAGTTCAGCCACCCTTCATATCTCCCAAGCCCATGGAGAGTCCGGAGACTCATTCTCATGTAGATTATTTCTTATACAAGACCACAAGATACGTAATTAAAATTATAGCAATTGGCCGGGCGCGGTGGCTCACGCCTGTAATCCCAGCACTTTGGGAGGCCAAGACGGGCGGATCACGAGGTCAGGAGATCGAGACCATCCTAGCTAACACGGTGAAATCCCGTATCTACTAAAATACAAAAAAATTCAGTCGGGCATGGTGGTGGGCGCCTGTAGTCCCAGCTACTCAGGAGGCTGAGGCAGGAGAAGGGCGCTGCCAGGAGGCAGCGGAGCTTGCAGTGAGCCGAGATCGCACCACTGCACTCCAGCCTGGGCGACAGAGCGAGACTCCATCTCAAAAATAAATAAATGAAAATTTTAAAAAAATTTTAAAAAGTATAGCAATCGATACCATTTAAGAGACAGTTTCAGTGTGCCCACCAAGCACTTTCTGCATGACATTTCTTTTAATCCTCTCAAAAATTCCCTGGGCTGTGTTCCATTTATAACCCTGTTTTATAGACAAGGAGATGGGCTCAGGGAAGTGAAGTGACTTCCTTAAGGCCGGCTAGCATACAGCGGAGGTGGGTTTTGAAGCTCCATCTGGCTCTGCTTTTTGTCATTGCCACACAAACAACAAGCTCCAGGCGGCACCTGCCATGATTCCCTTGTGGGACTGGGCCACCCCAGCAAGTCTCAGAAAAAATAGAAGGCAGACCCTTTCTCAATGAACTCATAATTTCATTAAAGATCAGAGCTTCACAAACGAGAAAGAATAGCACCATTACCTGTCTACCTGACTGCCATCCATCTCCCTTCCTTTTTCCCCTGCCCTGACACCATGAGCTTATCTTAAAAAGAAAATCAACTGAGCAGATGCTCCTTTAACTCTAAAAGTTTTCTGAGGCCAGCCTCCGTGACTTACTTAATTTTGTGCCCTCACTGTCTGGAACAAACCTCCCCAGAATGGTTGCCTGTGGCTATTACTATAATTACTGAGATTGCTCTTAATTGAATGAAAAGCTTCAGTGGCGACTTTTGTCAAGAGACACCCAGCAGAAGTAAATTCTTTGTTTTTTAGTGTATTAAATGTTGGGAAGCATTACTACCCTGGAATGCCTCTTGCTGCCCGGAAAGTTTGTTCTACCTTCCGGGAATGCCAGTAAGGCCTAATTGAGGATCCATTATCCTAAAATGTCTCGCAGGACCATTATGAAATTGAGATTTGTATTCTGCAGGCATTTGATTTAGGATGCTCATAAAATTCTAAATACCCCATGCATCTGCCACGTAATCTGTTTCAGTAAAGAATACAGCGGCCCCAAATATTTCTGCAACCACAAAATGTTTTAGAAAAAGGCCGGGGAAAAGAATCCAGTATTTCTTTATCTGTAATCTAATCACGATCTAGCCATATGCCTTCATTATTATAATAGGCACTTAGAACATCAGAAACCTTAAAAGAACATAAAAATCTTAAGGGTGTTTTCATCAATAGCCTTGGAGAAGCTCAGTATGCTGTGCTTATGAACCCTGTGTGACACCTGTGGGAATCAAGGCACAGCAAGGAAGCAGTGATCCCATGACTGCCAAGAACAATGCAAACCTAGGATCAAAATAAAACTTTCTCTGTTGGTTGAATTGGAAGACAAAGGGCAGGAAGGGATCTTTTCATTCAACATTATTGCCCTCTGAGGAACTGATAGAAGACTCTGATTTTAGAAGCCAAGAATAACTCATCGGCTCCAGCCTCAGTCCAGCAACTTTTGTGTTAGGGTGGCATCGCCCATGTCATGTATACTAACGCTGTGCTTGCCTCTCCAGGTGGCTGGGTGGCCTGGTCATCTGCTCTCTGCTGACCCTCATCGTGATTTTTTACTACCTGGGCTTACTGTGTGGCGTGTGCGGCTATGACAGGCATGCCACCCCGACCACCCGCGGCTGTGTCTCCAACACGGGAGGTGTCTTCCTCATGGTGTGAGTGCCTGCTCCTCTCTGTCACGTGGGGGTGGGAATGCAAGAGAGAGACTGGGTGCTGACTCTGGTGTTACACAAACCCAGTGCCCTCTGGGCCACGTACGCGGGGTTCCAGCTCCCAGGTCATGAGGAGGAGAGATCTTGCTATGATTGGACCTTCCTTGATTTGGGTACTCTTGTCAAGCATAAACATTAAAAACAAACAAACAAACAAAAGAAAACGACAATAACAACAAAGACACTAAATTACTTGCATTTTGATAGACCAACTTAAGAACACTATTTATATATGGCAGGCTCCTTTTAAAAGCAGCCAGGCTTGCCTTCTTGATTTGTATTGTTCCTTCTTTTTATTCATTCATTCGTTCATTCATTTACTCACCAGAGGCTGAGCCAATCTCTTGTGGGACAGCAGTATTGGTTAGCAGTATTGCTAGCTTGAAACTCTAGAAACTTGATTTAGAACTAAGGCTGCCAAGCCAGAACCCTTAGGATTTAGACAAGTAGCCTAGATTAAGCTTGAGAACAGGTGTGAGGCAGCAGGGAGAGGTACTCCTGCGGCAGAAGACTGGAGTGACTGTCCCTGCTTTGAAGACATTCACCTCCAAGTTCACGTGTTTGAAAAATCTTTGACTCTATGGCTACGGCAGAGCATAGCAGGCATGAACCAGGTGCAACTGGAGCCAGAGCCAGAAATGTAAGCTAGGATGTGGTGTGATGGCTGTGAATGCTCTGCAGAGAGGGAGCTGTGTGGATTCTGTCATCTCTTTTCGAGTCAATATTCTCTTTTGGATAAGATCATGAAGAATCAGCAGTAGGGAGTGAGATGGGGCTCGAGATCAGTGGTTAAGGTTTGAAACAATTCCTTTGGGGAGTGAAGAACAAAAACCCGAGCTGTGTTCTCTCATTATCCACTTAAGTCACTAACACGGGCCTGTGAGTGAGTGGGCTGGAGAGCAGGTGCTGTGCATTAATTTGATTAATTTGTTTTTTTAAACTTTGAGTTTTCAAACCAAATTGTCACACACATACACACACACACACACAACAAACAAACACAAAACTTTGGGTCACTGGAACAATAAATCAGGCTTCTTATAAGCTATGATTCTAAATCCTTTCCCTAAAATCATTCGGCTCCAGTATGGTATAGGCCTTTGCTAACAAGAGTCTTAACCTTAGAGCTAATGACCTGGGGTCTACCGGGGCTGGACAAAGAACTCCACACACACAGAAGCCTAGAGGCTCACAGGCCAAAGTTAAGAAATTGTTTTTGTCCAGGCGCGATGGCTCACACCTGTAATCCCAACACTTTGAAAGGCCAAGACAGGTGGATCACTTGAGGCCAGGAGTTCGAGACCAGCCTGGCCAAACATGGTGAAACCCCATGTCTACTAAAAATACAAAAATGAGCCGGGCATGGTGGCACATGCCTTAACCCCTGCTACTTGGGAGGCTGATGCACGAGAATTGCCTGAACCCAGGAGGCAAAGGTTACAGTGAGCCGAGATCATGCCAACTGCACTCCAGTCTGGGTGACACAGCGAGACTCTGCCTTAAAAAAAAAAAAAAAAAAGAAGAAGAAGAAGAAAGAAAAGAAAAGAAAAAGAAAGAAAGAAAGAAAGAAAGAAAGAAAGAAAGAAAGAAAGAAAGAAAGAAAGAAAGAAAGAAAGAAAGAAAGAAGAAAAGAAAGAAAGAAGAAAAGAAAGAAACTTAGCTGCAAGTACCTCTGGACAGAGAAGAAAAAAAAGAGAAATCACATCCAGAAGGAAAAATGAATTTGTCTTCCCTTTTTGTTCAAATGCACACGGATACACAAAAATACATTAAATAGAAAATTATTAGGTTGGTGCAAAAGTAATTGCTTTAATGTTTAATTGATTTTAAGTTTAATGTTACAAATGTAACAACCCTGATACTTGGTTGTCTGTCAGTGTTGTGGTGGTGTGTGTGTCTATATACATGTATTTCCATACTTTTTAACTACTTGAAAGGTAGGGTAAATTGCTCCGAAAAATGGTGCACCCTCATCGAAATTTTATTCACTTTTTAAAGGCATACAACCAAAAACATGTGATATCCAGCTTCAAAAAAAGAAAAAATAAAACAGAGAAATCATCAACAAATTGATGGAGGCTAAAAGCTACCTTAGTTTAGATACACTAATTCTATAGACATGGAGACGTATGGCGTGGAGGCCATAGGATTCATCTCAGCAGCAGGAAGAAGGCTGGGAACTGTCAGATGTTGTTTGATTCATTTCAAGGAGTCTGCAGACTTAGGGTGGCTATGATTTCTTTATTGTTGAATGCCACCAGTCAGCACGGCGCGCTTTGCTGTGCTTGGCAGAATTCTCTACTTCTTGAGGTATCTGGTAAACAACTGGATAATTGTGAAAGGGGGAGATGATACGAGCGTCATCAGTCTAATCAGACTAATTAGAAGAACGCAGTTTCTTTTTTCAGAACTGTTTACTTGCTTGTAGAAACCAGAAAGAGTACGTGTAGTTTTGTTGCAACCAAAACACCACCTGCTCTTTAAAAATGGTGACACCATCCAATCAAGAGCATGGTCTCTTTCAAAACCAAGCAGGAATTCTTATCTCCCAGAAGGATATCAGTGAAAGATGTGGAAGGAGGAAAGTCAGAGAGCCCTGGCTCTGCTCTGATCTTTCATCTTCAGAGGGTCCCAGAAGCGTTTTATTTTAATTTTATTTTTGTAGAGACAGTCTCACTTTGTTGTCCAGACTGGTCTTGAATTCCCGGTCTCAAGAGAGCCCCTGGTCTTAGCCTCTAATGTGTTGGGATTACAGGTGTGAGCCGCTACCCCTGGCCTCAGGAGCATTTTAGCAGCTGAATAGAATGCAGTGGTGAATGTATTATCTGTTGCAGGGGGATGTAGGAGAGGCTTCTCCAGAGATAAGGAGATCTGACAGTGGCACAAGCATCTCTTGTTTTGAAGCCCATCATAAAACTTCCCATTTTAGGTATTAACAACAATGCCAAGAGTAGCCACAGGTATCACAAACTGCGCACATTCCTGTGGCTGGTGGCAGTTTCTGAGGTTACAGAAAGAAGTTTGTCAGGCTGTATAGCTAAAAAGACCATGATGCTCTTTGCCCAGTAATTTCCATTTTGGGGACTCTAGGTGAAGGAAGTAGGCCAAACTATGAAGAAAGCCTGGGAAGAGTTTTTGCAGTATCAGTTATGATAGTGAAGCAGCCTACCTGCCAGGCTGTAGAGGAGTGGCCAAGTGAGTTATGACACATCCGTGCATGGAAGATCACATGGCCCCTGAAGTGATAACTGGGTGACTGTCCTGATTTGTTGACAAAAGTTTCTAAGATAAACTTTTTTGAAAGGGGGTCAGAAAATGATGCTTGTATTATCCTAAGTATGCACATCAGGGGTTAGTCAGCAAGCTTTTCCCAAGAAGGGCCAAGTAACAAATATTTTAGGTTCTGCTGGCCACATACAGTATTTGTTGCATATTCTTCTTGTTTTTCACCTTCTTTTGCTCTTTCATCTTACTCTGATTCTCCTTGTCCTCTTCATCCTTTTCAATATTTTCAGTACACATTAGCCATTATCTCACTAACCTTAGAAAAACAGACCTTAGGCAGTGGTTCCCCTACCCCTGATCTAGAAATGTGCATATTTAGAAAATAAAGGCTGGAGATGTTGACTGTATGCGATTTAGAGTAAGAGTCATGGTGCTCTTTTTAGACAGCTGTCTTAGTTTTTGTGAGTTTTTTTAACTCCAACACACAGACACACATGCTCAGATGGGGATCCTGGCATGGCCCTCACTCACTTCTTCTTTGTGTTCTCCCAGACTCAGAAGGCTTGTAGGTCAGAGAAAGTCAGGCTGACCTAGGCCTTTCCAATGAACATTACTTGCTCTTTATTTTAGTGAAGAAACACAAATACTGTAATTATGGCTTTGGTGTCTGCAGCCAAAGGGGAGAATCGTGCCCTTAGGAGGGGGTGCTGTGGTGATTGCAAGCATCAGCCCACACCCTCCTGAGGCTCCTTCCTGGTGTGCACCAGTGATGGTATCTGATTTGGCAAGTGCCCCTAGATTGATTTAAGAGTTTGTTCTCTCTCTCTCTCTGTCTATACCTAGACAGCTAAGCACTGCTAGAGAAAAGTTACGCACGGGGTACATTGGGTATCCCTACAAACTTAGCATCTCCTGTCTCAAATGGACCTGCCATAGTCTGATAAATCTTTTATCTCATTTTCTTCCTTCCCTTTCTCTTTTTCTTCTTTTTCGACACCCCCCCAACACTTTCCTGCAACAGTCTTTTCACTCTGATACATCCATCTTCCTCTACTTCACCCATCTCTTAGCAGATGGCTTTACCTCCTTCTTCTCAGAGAAAATAGAAGCCATCATGCAACTTCCCATCGTCAAACTTCCAAACACACATGCTCCCAAACACACATGCTCCCAAACACATCCCTCCCTTCTCTGCAGTGCCAGAAGCGGAGGGATTCCTCCCTGCTCAGGCTGATTCCGCCAGCTATATTCTCAGTCCCATTTCTTTCCCTGATCCTGATAAAAATGGATCATCCCCTTTCTTTTCCATGTCTTTATTCTCTTCCTGTCTCCTTGACTTTCACTCAACACTTAACCAGGCTCTGTTCTTTCCCTTCTTCAGAAATAAAAGCAGAAACTCTTTACCCACACTGCCTCTTCCCTGTAGCTCTCCTTCCCCCACGCCGGGTCTCAGAGGAGTGATCTGAGCTTGCTGCCTGTGCCCTCCTCTCCTGCTGACTCCCCAGTCCACTCCAATTTGATTTCCTACCCCATCACTGCACTTGTTTTAAGTTGGCAGTGACCTCTCTGTACAATGCAGACAGCACATTGGTTGGTGACAGCCGACCACTCCCTCCTCCTGCAAACACTCCTTTTGTCCCCTAGGTGGCATCACACCCACATGGTTGCCTTCCTGCTTCTCTGCCTCATCATCTTGTTCTGGTTTGCTGGCCCTCCTTCCACCACCCGTCTCTGTAAATGTTGAAGTCTTCCAGACCCAGCCCTAGGCTGTTTCTCTCTCCAAGCCAGCCCTGGGGATAAATGACCGTGGCTAAGCTGCTGGTTCCCTAACGTACATCAGAAACCCAGATATCTTAGCTCCAAACATACTGACTCCCACACACTCTTTCCACTCAATGTCTCTGTGGCAACAAGACCAACATCCAGCCCATCTTCTCTTTCCTTCCAGAGCATTGGTGCTCCCTGGCACTGCCCTTGGAGGAGCCCTTCCTTGCCTCTACGTCTTGTGTCCAGCGCTTTCCGAGTCCTGCTATCTCCTATATTAGGCCTCCTGTGTCTCCTATATTACGTCACCATCATCCACCAACTCTCCACCAATCCTGTCCCCTTAGGCCACCCTCATGGGCCATGATAACAGCCTCTGCAATGATGTCCCATCCACGTTGGCACCTGTCCAGTCCATCCTTTACACTGTGCCAAGAGTGCTCTTGTTCAGAGAGAAGTCAGGCTGTGCCCCCCCTGTGCTTTCAGCCCCTTATTGGCCACCCCTTGTGGGTCCCAGGCCCCTATACAGTACATCCCCGCCTGCCCTGGAGCTGCCCCTCCCCAGGTCCCAGGCCCCTATCCAGTGATCCCTCACCTGCCCTGGTGCTGCCCCTCCCCGGGTCCCCAAGGCCCCTATCCAGTGATCCCCCGCCTGTCCTGGAGCTGCCCCTCCCCAGGTCCCCAAGCCCTGTGTCACTCCTAGGTGGATGATCTGTTTCACCTGAATAACACTGAAGACCCCAGGTCTATTTTATAGAGTATAGGTAGATTTAGTAAGTATCAATAGGTACTATTGAATCATTCTTTCTTGAATTACTAACATATTTTTTTTCCAGTGGAGTTGGATTAAGTTTCCTCTTTTGCTGGATATTGATGATCATTGTGGTTCTTACCTTCGTCTTTGGTGCAAATGTGGAAAAACTGATCTGTGAACCTTACACGAGCAAGGAATTATTCCGGGTAAATATGATTTTCTACCCATTATGAAAGGACTTGAACAGAAACTTGGATTTCTTCATATGTTGTGTGTTACTTTAAGAGCAGTGCAAACATATAAGCAGTTTGGTTTAAATTCAGTAAATTTCTTGAAATTATTAAATTCAATAAATTTTTAAATATTCAATAAATGCAATAGATTCTTTTTATTTGTAAGAGAAAGAAAATATGGGAGTGTCCTTATTTTCTGATCATAAGTGAAATCAGGGACGGGAGTTAAGTCCTGCCCCTCAATGTGGATTGCAGTATTTGGGGAGAATAGAATTTTCCTCAGCAGTGGTTTCCAAATGTGGCTGGGAACATCAGAAGATCAGTTCCCAGGTTCCTCCCACACACCCTGGGAGATTCCTAGGTGACAGAGGTGTCCACACAGATGAGCCCTAAATTTGAAAGGAAAGAGACTGATAAGTGGATGTCTCGTGACAGAGGGCTGACCTGGCAGATGTCTAGTGGTGCCACCAGGAACTGAATTCAAGCTTCGCTTTCTCCTTCTCAGTCCAACTCCCACAGATTCCGGGGGGCCAGTTGGCAGTTTTGCTTTCTTCATTAATGAGGAAATTTTGTTCTAAGTGTCTGGCTTCTAATTTTGGCTTTTCTGTGTTTTTTTTCTCCAGATTCTGATTTTTAAAATATATTTATGTTTCACTCTTTCACTGTACATACATTTTTCCACCTAAGATCTGTTATGAAAGCAGGTGAATACTGTTGTGATGGTGTTTTAGTTATTTCATTGGTCGAGGGAGATTAAGTTGAGATCACCAGCGCGTCAAATGATCTCCATTTGGCCTTTTGATAAAACAAAGACATCAAGCCAGGCATCATTATCTCCTGTAGAGTGTTGAATCATTCAAAGATACTTTTTCTTAAGTAGGGGATATTTCAAAACCATTTCTACTTCTCAAGCACATACACGGTCCTGCACTGATTTGCCCATCTTAAATATGTGTGGTGCTGGGGCAGAGAGTGTGTGAATTTTAATACATTTTGTCCAGAGACAGAAATAGCACAGCACTGGGTATACCACTTCATGGCTGTATATTAGCTCTTCTGATCAAATGGTCTACTCTGCTTCTATTTATAATGTGTTTGTTTTATTAAGATAAAGATTAAAAAGTTCTCGGCCAGGCATGGTGGCTCATGCCTGTAATCCTAGCACTTTGGGATGCTGAGGTGGGTGGATCACCTGAGGTCAGGAATTCAAGACCAGCCTGGCCAACATGGTGAAACGCCGTTTCTGCTAAAAAAAAAAAATACAAAAATTAGCTGGGCAGTGGTGGTGTGCGCCTGTAGTCCTAACTACTCAGAAGGCTGAAACAGGAGAATCATTTTAACGCAAAAGGCGGAGGTTGCAGTGAGCCGAGATAGTGCCACTGTACTCCAGCCTGGGCAACAGAGCGAGACTCTGTCTGAAAAAAAAGAAAAGTTCTCAAAAAAAGTAATTTTAATAATTTTGATTGATGCTACCCAGTGGTCAATTGATTTATTCCAATTATACTATTATTTTCTAGTTATAAGTTGGAAATCAACCAGAAAAATAATGTTACAAAAAATTTCAAAAAATATATTCAACAGAATATTCACTTTATTATATTAGTATGTATGCGAGTGTAAAACTGATTTTTCGAAAATCCTTCCTAATATGTTCCAGGTTTTGGATACACCCTACTTACTAAATGAAGACTGGGAATACTATCTCTCTGGGAAGCTGTTTAATAAATCAGAGATGAAGCTCACTTTTCAACAGGTTTACAGGTATCAATATTTGCATTATACATTTTGCTATTTAAAGTGTTCTTTTTCTGGAATGAGAATTTTGCATTTGAAGTGTTTTTAAATCTTAATTATATGACTTTCCTGTTTCAGAGATAAGCTGTCCTGTAGTATTTTAAAGACACAGCAGAGATTAGATCAAAAACCTATTCCTTCTACTGAAAGCCTTTGAGACCTTGGAAAGGTGATGTTTCAAGGTCTTGCTCTCCAGTAATCTCTGGAACTCGCTGGTTAACGTGACCCTATGATGCACTAACGGGACCTCATGAGAAATCTTGTTCAGGAACCACGTTGCTCTAAATAAAAGCCATCCAACAAGAATAGTGAACAGGTGATTCAGTGATTTGGATCACCAGCAGGAGGAAGGCAATGCAGTTCAAGAACTGTCTGCTGTCAGGCCTTCTGAACTCTGACCCAGGCCCCCTCCTGGAGGCTCTGTGCCCTGGGCAATTCCACATCTTCTCTGTTTCATGGGGGTCATGGTCATAGGAATCTGACCCTGAGGTTGTTTTAGGGTTAAGTAAGATACATGAGATTCGAATGGTGCCTGACACATCATTTGGACTTGATGAACAATACTGTTCTTAATACTGTTCATCTAGGCTGGCCACAGTGGCTCATGCCTGTAATCCTAGCATTTTGGGAGGCCGAGGCAGGTGGATCACTTGAGGTCAGGAGTTCGAGACCAGCCTGACCAATATGGTGAAACCCCATCTCTACTAAAAATGAAATATAAAAATGAGCTGGGCATGGTGGGATGCACCTGTAGACTCAGCTACTCAGGAGGCTGAGACAAGAAAATTGCTTGAACCCGGGAGGTGCAGGTTGCAGTGAGCCAAGATCGTGCCACTGCACTGCAGCCTCGGCGACAGAGTGAGACTTTCTCTCAGGAAAAAAAAGACAACAAAAAAACTATGTATGTATAAAATAACTTCTGACCTCAGGTGATATATATCTGTGTAGTGTATGCTTTTCCCAGTGGTAAAATGGGCTCCTAGTCTGATGGCTGGAAGTCTTAGGTATCTGATCTTAGACGCGAACCCATGGGCAGCTCTCTGCTATGAGCCATAGGGAAGGGAGTCACTTTAAGAGTATTTGAAATCAATTCATAGGATGCTTTTTAAACACTGGTGACACTTATTTCTCCCACCATGAGACCGAAGGGCCAGAGGATGTGTGTTAACGTGGTGTGTTCATAGTAAATGAAACTAAAAATACACAGGGCGATAGTGACCCACACTGAGAGCAGAACACTTTGTAAGTCATAGACACAGGTCCCCATCTGCCCAGAAGCCTTTCCATGCCCTACACGTGAACCACCATTCTTAGTGTTCTTATTACTCTCTCAGAGTTCCTTTATGCAATTTTAAGCAAGTATTAACCCTATGCCTAGCATTATTATATAGCTTAGTAGTATTAGCCATCATCTGATAGTCAAAAGACTTCTTCAGCATTTTGTGAATTTGTTATACTTTTAGGTATTGCTAGGTTCTTTTTGTACTTTTAAAAAACATTTTGAACTATGCACACATTTAATTAATCAATGGTCATTAGTTCCTCTAGCCAAACCACAGAAGTTATTTTAAAATAAATACAGCTACGTCATTACTAAGTATTTATTTATTTATGTATTTATTTATTTTTTGAGATGGAGTCTCGCTCTATCACCCAGGCTGGAGTGCAATGGCACCATCTGGGCTCATTGCAACCTCTGCCTCCCGGGTTCAAGTGATTCTCCTGCCTCAGCCTCCTGAGTAGCTGGCATTACAGGTGTCTGTCACCATGCCCAGCTAATTTTTGTATTTTTAGTAGAGACGGGGTTTCACCATGTTAGTCAGGCTGGTCTCGAACTCTTGACCTCAGGTGATCCACCTGCCTCAGCCTCCCAAAGTGTTGGGATTACAGGCGTGAGCCCCACGCCCGGCCGTTACTGTTTATTTCTATTACCTAATAAATATTATGCTAAGTGGTCATAGTGGTAATTTAACAAAATTCTAAGAGCTAGCACCTGCATGGTGCTTTCTGTATGCCAAGACTGATGGAAACACCTCAGATGTATAAACTTTTTTAACATCCACACCACTCTGTGAGCTAGGTACCATACTAACTACTTTTATTTTTATATGAGCACCTGGTGTAACAGGAGCTAGGTACCATACTAACAACTGCTTTTATTATTATATGAGCACCTGTGGTAACGGGATACCTGAGATATTATACAAAATTGAATTAGACTCTGATCCTACTGTCAAGGAAAACCTAGTAGAGAGTTAGATGTGTAAAGAGGTGTTCTAGAATACGGTGATACCTACAGGTGATAGAAATGTACTGAGGCTACTCTAGAAGCCCCAAGATGGGTGTCTTATGCAGTGTGGGAATGGAGGGATTAGGAAGGACTTCCTGAGGGTAATGGCACCTAAGCTGATCTTAGTAGGTTAGTGGGGATTGGCTGGGCCAAGAAGAAGGAAAAAGGCACCTAGGCCGAGGGACACAGACAAAGGCAGGGAGGTAAGGGCAGTAGGCTGCTCTTTGGGAGCTTTTAAAAATCCCCGTACCACTTTGGGGCCGAATACAAAATTAAAGGACAGAGAAAAGTCCTTGTTTCCATTATTCAGCCCATGTCAGTGAAAACTGAGTTTCTAGAGCCCTGAGACAACACTCAGAATGAACTTATAAATGTTGCTTGTAGGCTTCGTCTTCTGAATCTTTCTTAAATCTTCTTCTTCTCCTTCTCCTTCTCCTTCTCCTTCTCCTTCTTCTTCCTCCTCCTCCTCTTCTCCTCCTCTTCCTCTTACTCCTCCTCCTCTTCTCCTCCTCCTCCTCTTCCTCCTTCTCCTTCTTATTCTTCTTGCTCTCCTCCTCCTCCTTTTTCTTCCTCCTCCTCTTCCTCTCCTTCTCCTTCTCCTTCTCCTTCTCCTTCTCCTTCTCCTCCTTCTCCTTCTCCTTCTCCTTCTCCTTCTTCTTCTTCTTCCTCTTCCTCTTCCTCTTCTCTTCTTTTCTCTCTCTCTCTCTCTCTCCTTCTAACTGGTCTCCTTGTTCTCATTCCATCCTCCAAACCTCCCAGCATGATGTGATGTGGCCCAACCACATGTGTCACTTCCTGCCTAAGTTTCTCCATTGCCCATGGCAGAGGCAGCTGATAAGTGTCTGGTGCCCATCCCCCATACTCAGGGTAGACATTGATAGTCAACTGAGGTCTCCTGCTTAGCCCAGGGAGCCTCAGGCTCCTTCTGGACTGTGTGCTCTAGGCATACATTAGCAATCGGTTGACTTTTCTCTACACAATTAAACCCATTCACCATCCCTAGGCTGAGAGGACAAAGCCAAGTGTTTCAGCCTGGCATGCTAGCTCCTTGTGATTCTGGCTGCTGCAGAGCCCTCCAGTGTTACCTCTGGTTGTTCATAATCAAGCTCTGAGTTCCAACAACACCAACCTGCGTGTTCTCTAGAGGGAAGGATCACACCTCCTAGGGATGTGGGAAAGTTGCTTCTTCTAGGCATCCCTAAGGCCTAGAAGGCCCTGGCTGCTGTGGCGAGGAAGAGATGCTGCATTCCTGGATGCCACTATTTTTGTGGCAGGAATACACATCCAATGAGGCCTACCCTTCTTAGCTCAGTCAAGTCTAAAAAAGTCAAATTTTCCTATTTTAGAGATAAGATTGAGGCATGGCGAGGTGAGGCCATTTCACCCAGGGGACTGAGTTAGGTTACAGCAAACTGTGCTGACCATCGAGATGTCTGCGTCTCCTCCTTATCTCTGTCCTCACCATGAGGATAGATGTCTAAGCATATATTTAGTCAGTGCAGCTCGGCGCTGGAAATACAGAGTAGAAATGTTCTTGGCAGGAGCTTGATAGAATCATTTAATGAAGTTCCTAATCTACTCTGCAGTGTATCTCTTTCTAGCAAGTATTGTTTTTCTTTTTAATGAGAATTTATTTCTTCCCAATCTGTAAACTTGTGGTCCACAGCGGAACTAGAGCATGTAGGAGACAGATGGAAAGATAGATTTATCAATCCTATTGCATCTCTTCAAAGAACAGGACGGTTAGTCAAACAAGGCAAGAAGTCAGAGGTGGTGGGTGCTGAGGGATCTGTGTGGCCACTTGGTACACCCAGCCCCACTTCTGTGTTCACAGATTAAACAAAGAGAAACAGTGAGCCTTCCTCCTCCTCTTCAGCGGTGGACATAGGTAGCTGCAACAGCTTTTCTAGGTCCTAATTTCTCTGTTCATTCCCACAGTGACTGCAAAAAGAATAGAGGCACTTACGGCACTCTTCACCTGGAGAACAGCTTCGACATCAGTGACTATCTCAACATTAATGAGGTAATTAGAAGTCGTCATGGAATCGACATAACACATTCCTTCACCAAATCCGGTTGTCTTTCTTTCTTTTCTGGAAATTGAGATGACATTTGCATAAGATCAAATTAACTATTTCAAAGTGACGTTTGGTATATTTACATGGCTGTGTAACCTTCACCTCTATTTGGTTCCAAAACGTTTTCTCACTGCCCGACCAGTTGTCTTTCTTGTGGTTTGAGTTTTTCTAATGTATTATGCAAGAGCCTCTAGAGCGGCCTCACTATGGACACTTCACAGGGAAAGATGTCGTTTTGCTGACTATAGACGTTTTTGTGGGAACAGTCCCTGTTTGTTCCTCAGGAAGGCTCTCGCTCCAAGACCAGCCTCGCTTTCTGCCAGTCCCTGAAACTGGGCACTCAGTGTGGAGAAGCATGTTCCACACTGTCCTCCTTCCTTATGAGTCACATGGTGGCCCCAGGACTCCAGTGTGAACTAAAGCAAAGGATGGAAGCCAGCAGAACCTCCTCTTTTCTTTTCCCAGAGCCCACACTCCAGTCTTGAGTCTTGAGACTTGGAGGAAGGGCCATTCCAGAGCGCACTGGCCTGAAGAAAGAGCAAGAGTTTCAGCTGCCCAGGCCTAGGGTGCCATTAGCCTAGACCAGCCCCACTCCCTGTACCTAGAGGCCTCTTCTGACTTTCTGCCGGAAAGAATCTGGAGCGTGCTCTCTCTTTTGGGTTTCCTGAATGAGAGCAGAAACAAAGGGATCCCAGGAGAAGAGGCTATTCCCAAGCCCCCACAGCTTGCCCACCGCTGCTAGAGTTACCATGAGGCCATGATGGCTTGATGGTTTTCAAATGTGAAAAGCTGTATTTGAAAGCTGTATATGAAAAGTTTATTATCTTCCCTAAATAGTCCATATATGTATGCATTAAACATACATAATTTTGTAACCAAACCCTAAATAGATGCCCATCATGCTGTGGGTCACTTCTCTGTGTGCTATGGCGGGTAGCAGTTGGAGAGGTTGCCTGGGACATGCAGGCACTCGATGCTGCTGGAAACTGCTGACTATCAGTACAACCCTGAATCAACGACCATGTTTCCATAATCTTTGCCCAAGTAACTAAACACTGTTCCCCAAATGATATGTCCCATTTCTTCCTACTCCCAGCTCTTGTATGTGCTGGTCCCTTCCCTGGAATGCCAGCCTACCCTGTCCCTTTCAGCTTCTCTGTTTGTCAAAGCTGGGGGTTTAGAAGCCATGGGACCCATAAAGAAAGAGATGGGAAAGGAACAGGACGGGAAGTACCAGGAAGAGATGCCAGTCAAGTGCTTGCACATTCTTTTGTCCTTTCTGGTTTGATTGCTCTTTATTTTTTTATTTATTTTTTGATTTTATGTTTAAAATTTTTTAACATAGAGGCAAGGTCTCTTTATGTTGCCCAAGCTGGTTTTGAACTCTTGAACTCAAGCAATCCTCCCACCTCAGCCTCCCAAAGTGCTAGGATTACAGGCATGAGCCACCACATCCAGCTTTTATTGCTCTTGTAAAGCATTTGATTTGTGACATTCTTGGAGAATAAGGGACTGATTTTAACTTCCTTTTCTTGCAGCATACTGCAAGCATAAGCAGTGAATTGGAAAGTCTGAAGGTAAATCTCAATATCTTTCTGTTGGGTGCAGCAGGAAGAAAAAGCCTTCAGGATTTTGCTGCTTGTGGAATAGACAGAATGAGTTATGACACCTACTTGGCTCAGGTATGACGCATGTGTTCATGCTTGATCCTTTAGGGGAAATTAGAGCGTCAGATGTGTAGTTCTGTTTTGCTTTTGATTTTTTATTAAGATGAGATTCACATAAGACTAACCATTTTAAAGTGAGCAATTCAGTGGCATTTAGTACATTCACAGTGTTGCACAACTACTGCTTCTATGTAGTTCCAAAACATTTTCATCACCCTAAAGCAAAGCAGTTGCCCCCATTTGCTCCTCCCCAAACCCTTGGCAACCACCCATCTGTGGTCTCTTTTTTTTTTTTTTTGAGATGGAGTCTCGCTCTGTCACCAGGCTGGAGTGCAGTGGCGCAGTCTCGGCTCATTGCAACCTTCACCTCCTGGGCTCAAGTGATTCTCCTGCCTCAGCCTCCCGAGTAGCTGGGACTACAGGCACATGCCACCACACCCAGCTAATTTTTTTTGTATTTTTAATAGAGACGGGGTTTCACCATGTTGGCCAGGATGGTCTCGATCCCTTGACTTCATGATCCGCCCACGTCGGCCTCCCAAAGTGCTGGGATTACAGGAGTGAGCCTCCGCGCCCGGCCCATCTGTGGTCTCTTTAGATGGATTTACCTAGTCTGGGTATTAAAAAAAGAAAGATTATATAACACACAACCTTTTGTGTCTGACTTCTTTCACTGAGCACGTTTTTGCAGTTCATCCATATTATAACATTATCAGTACTTCATTCCTTTTCACAGTTGAATAATATGATTGAATAAAAATATGGCTTTATATGTATAAATAAGAATGCAAACGTTGCCACCTGTTTAAGAGTGTCTAACCTCACGTGATTACTTTATGGTCATGAATCCATGTTTAATCTCTTGCCTACTAGATGTTGTGTTAAGGCTTAAAGATCCCATATCCATAAGACAATTTTTGTTCACTTCTATTGTAGACTGGTAAATCCCCCGCAGGAGTGAATCTTTTATCATTTGCGTATGATCTGGAGGCAAAAGCAAATAGTTTGGTGAGTTCAAATCGCCCGGTTAAATACTGTAGTAGTTGTAGATGTCAAACGTCAGTGCCATTTTTAGGGAAGCTGCTGAAGAGGTTCCTCACGCTGTGAGTAATCCCTTGTTCATAAACACCTCTCTTGTGCATGTCATTATGTTTCCGTCCACAGCCATTGCCATGTGGCTCAAACCTCTCTGAGCCTTGAATGTTGCCAGGATGGTGTCGGGTTGATGCAGGGCAGGTGAAACCTGCTTTATTGAGGTAGCGGCAGTGTGACAGCTCAGAGACCGCTCTTCTGGAGCAGGGCGACCCCACAGGCAGTGTGCAGAAGGTAGCAGCCTAGGGACAGTTTTGTAGTCTTATTTATAACCACTTTCAATGGAATGCTAATTAAGCGGCGGGTTGTTCAGAAATAGCTAGAAAATGAGTGGTAACTTCCCAGTGTTGCCATGGCAATGGTTAACTGTCGATGAGCTGGCGGGCATGCCTTATGGTGATGGACAGGGAGAGGTGCTTTGGGCTCCTCTTCCTGGTTTCCACCAGTCTTTAATCTGGTCCGAAGTCCCACCTGCCTTCTATCTCAAGATGACTGCAGCCTTCCACCCTCTGCTTTGAGTGTAGGCACCCTCATTACTTTAGCTCTGGATCTGTTTCCACCCCTGTTAGCCCCTCCACTTCTAAACACACCTGCCCATGCACACAGGTTGTTCTCCTGCAGTGTAGGGAATAGTACCTGGGGCTGTGGGAGGAAGATTTCATGTGTTGCTTTGAATTACCAATAGTTAGTGATGAGGGAAGAGAGAGGTACCACCCCAGTCCCACAAGCTTCCCCTTTCAACTCCTCTGCTGGTTGGTGACTACTTGGCCTTAACTGGTCCCATCCAAGAAGCAGCACACCATGGTGATGAGGAACCTGGGCTTTTGAGGAAGACCTGGGTCTAAGTCGTGACTCAGGATAGGAGCTTAGGCAAGTTACTTCTCCCTTCTGCCTTAGTTTCCTCATCTGCAAAATGGGGTAATGGTATCTACCTTATAGAATTGTTATTCATTAATAAATTAAACACTCATTGAGTATGGGTTAAATAGAAATTTCTCCATGGAGCCTTGGTTTTCTCACTTGTAAAATGAGAAGCTGAGAGTGGCTGTATCATGGTGAGGTGGAGAGAACACAGCCTCTGGCACTCAGGGAGGGCTCTTGGGTGTGGGTTATCGCTGAGAGTTCATGGTTCTGTGCTTTGAAGGAGGGTGTCTTGGCCCTGGCCCTCACACCAGCCCCCATGTCCACTCACAGCCATCATTGCACAAGGAGGGCTGCGTGCTTATGTCATGGCTGCCCTCCTGGCTGCGCAGGGCCCCTGAGGATAGCGAGAGTGCTTTGAGTCTGGAAAGATGGTATTGATCTTTGTTTTTTATTCTTTTTGTAGCCCCCAGGAAATTTGAGGAACTCCCTGAAAAGAGATGCACAAACTATCAAAACGATTCACCAGCAACGAGTCCTTCCTATAGAACAATCACTGGTAACAGTCAACAACGTATTGTGTTTCACTGTGACCTCAGCACAATCCACTGCAGCGAGCTGGCTTTCATTTAGCCTCATGACACATGCTCATCTCTCGTAGGTCCCAGCTGACTGACCTCAGCCCCAGAAGCTGAGCTGGGCTTTAGACAAAATAATTGCACCTCCCTCTTCTGTTTATTCCCTTCGGTTTTTCATTTGAGTGCGAACAGTTAGATAAAATCTGTGGTTGTCTCCTCCACCTTGCTCTAGTTTCCATTGCTGTGAGCAGGCCCTCCTATGCCCCGCATTTAGCTACAGTGCTGTGGACTCACTCTATTCTTTTTCTCCAAGCTTTGTCTAGAAATATGTGAAGGTGAGGTTAAGTGCTTCTCTCTGTAGATCTACTTAGCCCTATCTGCTGTCTTGATGGGCGTTGCTTCCTTTCTCCTCTCTTCCATCCTTTCCATTTGCTTCTCACCACCTTGTGACTTCTTTTCTTAATGCAATAAAGGCAGTTTCTAGCAAAGAAAGAACGTGGACTTTGGAGTCAGACAGACCTGGTTTTAAATCCTGCTTCTGGCTCTCCAAACTATTGTAGCTTCTTAGTTTCCTTATCTAAAAATGTTGGGATCAGTAACTGCCTTGCTTTTACCTGTTCGTGGAGATGAAGGACCTGACCTCAGAGGATCTCAGTAAAGAGGAGGAATTATTATATTATGCTTGTGTATGGGCCATATTTGTAGCCAGCAAGGAGAGAAGTGTGTGGAAACTGGGTTACTGAATCAGCTTGCTCAGGTTTGGCCAAGCAAGTAAATCCACTCCACTCCAACATCCGAACATCCGAACATCCCAACACCAAACTTTCCAGGACTAGTTTCTAGTACCCTTTTTTTCTCTCTTGATTTCCTAATTTATTAGACTATTCACAAAGTCCTTTCACTGAATTTTCTTAATTTGTGTCCAGTGCTCTTTACAATTTTCTGTACACTTGTTTATGCCTAACACAAATTTGTTAATATTTTAAGCTGGCTTTGCGTTTGTTTTTTTTTTTAAATGCTTTTTTTCCAAGTACACAGGACCCTTTGGCCTTTTCAGAGCTAGGGCAACCTGTCCACAAATAGGCAAAGTGCTTCGTACATGTGACCTATGATCTAACCAGGGGTTGGCAAGCTAGGTACCCTGCCAACTACAGCCTGCAGGCTAAATTCAGCCTACCACCAGTTTTTGTAAATAAAGTTTTGTTGGAATATGGCCACACCCACTCATTTGCAAACTCTCTGTGGCTGCTTTTGACTACAAGGACAAAGTTGAGTAGTTGGGAGTATGGCAGATAAAACCTAAAGTGTTTACTCTGGCCTTTTACAGATAAAGTTTGTCAACCTCCAGTCTAAACCATTCAGGTTAACCCCTCTTGTGGGGCAGGCTCTGTTTTAAATAATGCCTTCCGCTTTGATCAAACCTAATTCAAAGGGATTTCTTGGATGCCTCACATGTGATTTGCTGTTCTTCACAGCTTTAGGATATATATCCAATTTTTTTCTTCCGGTTTTCTTACACCAGAGGCATAGAAGGTACACATTGTTAATTGTGCTGGTTATTTTTTCTAGAATGAAACCATTACAGTGTAAAGACAGATTTGATGGCTGTCTTGTGGGAAGGGAGGACACAAGGTATGTGATCTTGCTGTTTCATGTCATAATTTTGGAAATATTATCTGTTTTTCACCAGAGCACTCTATACCAAAGTGTCAAGATACTTCAACGCACAGGCAATGGATTGTTGGTAAGGGTTTACTTTGTTTTCCATCATGGGGTTTTGTTATAAAACACCACACAAAGAATGCTAGAAATGTGATTTTTGTAGGTACTTTAAGTTTAAAAAAAAAAAGGCTTGGTTATCTACCTATTTATACCAAATTGGGTTTTCTTACTATTTCCTTTCTGCAAGTACTTCTATAAGTGCAGACATCATCTTAGCAGACTATTAGGTACGTAGGTGAAATCTATATTTTGATGTGCAGGATGCAAGCTTTGAAGGTACATTGGTCACTTTCACAGAGATAATGCTGCCTAACACACAATCCCAAACCTCAGTGCCTTCTAAGTATAAGTGTTCATTTTCCCTGCTGGTTTGACAACAGGCTTCTCTACACATCTTCCCATTGAGAGACCTGGCCTGAAGGAGCAGCTCCTGTCTGGGGCACCTCATGTCGTCATAGTGGAATTCAGGGGATAAGAGGAGGCACAGGTTGTCCTTTAAGCCACTGCTCAGAACGGGCACCCTGCCCCTTCACCAGCATTCCATTGGCCAAAGCAAGCCACATGGTCACATCGTCATCTGGCTGGGGAAGTACACTCCACGCTCTGGGAAATTATCCGAGGAGCGTATCAATAATCCTGAGCAGCTAATGCAATCTACCACAGGGGCCACGTGCAGGCTGCAAGCATTCCCGCAGCAGACACTGAGCTGCAAGGCTGTGTTGTATTCATCTTGTATCCACAGCACCAATGGGCAACTCAGAAGATAGTTTTTCATTGAACAAAATAGCCTGTCCATGAGAGGTTTTGAGCATCAGCCTCCATGATAAAACTAAATGTTCCCTTCTTCCACTTTTCTCAATGAGGCCAACATCGTGGCTCAGCTCCTCTGAAGATGTTTACATTTACTCTGCTCCGGGACCCTCCCTATGCCTCTGATCACAGTTGCCATTTCATAAGTGTGTGTCTCATGCCAGGGGAGCCTGGAAACACACCAGTGACTACGTGCAGGTGCTTTGCTACCTGTATGCACAGGGCGAGGGTGTGCAGTGGTACAAGGCCTTTCATGAGGGATCCAGCCAAGGGGGTTAGTCGGGGGGCAGAAACTGGCCATTGACTCACCGGCCAGGCTCTGTGCCCTGAGGTCCCTGGGCAGAAAAGGCCCCTTTTCCAATTTGCACCAAGCTGCCATGTGGGTTGGCAGAGGACTCGTCTTTGCTTGTGTTGTGATGCAAAGACTACGGGCTTTCCGGTGGAAAAAAAATTTGGTGCAAATCCCAGCATTGTTGTATGCTTCCCCAGCATGGTGACCTTGAAGAGGCTGAGCTGCCTCATCCGCGAAGGGAGCCTAGCAAACAGTACCTTCCTTCCTGCCTCCTTGTGAGTTTCCAGCAAGGCCATTCCTATCAAGGACTAGCCCAGTGTCTGGCCTAGAGTAAATGCCCCTCTCAGCTCATCTCCTTCCCTGCCCTCAGGGGGCTGGGCAGGTTCTGTCTTCCTCTTAACTAGGAGGTCCAGGTCATGGTGTTGTGGAGCTGAGTTATAGTACTTGAATCAATATGCAAATCATCTAATTAAATCTTTATATGACTTGATACCCTGCTAACTGTGGCTGTGTGTTTCAGGAGAGAGTAAATAGGATTCTAGCTTCTCTGGATTTTGCTCAGAACTTCATCACAAACAATATTTCCTCTGTTATTATTGAGGTGAGTCTTCCTTTTTAAAGTAAGCGTGTCCGTAAGTGGGCACATGAATGTTACAGATTAAATATTTATAATGTTTAAGTATGCTGTCATCATTTTAAGGCTTCTACTCATCTTCTGTTTCTTTCCAGGAAACTAAGAAGTATAGGAAAACAATAATAGGATATTTTGAACACTATCTGCAGTGGATCGAGTTCTCTGTAAGTAGTTTATCTTTTATGAATATTAAGGGGGGGTCATGTTTTAGGATAGTCATTTTTCTAGGGTAAAATCTGGAAGAAATAAAATTAAATTTTCCCGTAATTTGGTAGGAGGTAAGTGAAAGGATATTGACGTCCAGGACCAAGACTTCTGGGGCTGCCCACCAGGTCAGGGGACAGCCACCTCCTGGTCCCCTTTGCTCACCTTTGCCATATGCAATTCTTCCGTTTGCTTCCCACCCCCTTTTTCAGGTAACAAAGGGGCCAGGTAGCAAATTTGAACTAAAACACTACGCTGGGCACAAGAACTTTTTAATTCTCTCAGGAGTCCTGTAGGTTGGGTCACTCTTCCAAAACAAATGAGGAAACTGGAAACCAAGGCTCAGAGAGACTAAGGATCTTGCTTTGAAATATGTACAATTGTCCCTCAGTATCCATGGGTGATTTGTTCCAGGGCCCCCTGCAGATACCTAACTCCTTGGGTGCTCAAGTTCCTTATATAAAAGATACAGTTATTTGCACATAACCTATGTACATCCTCCTGTATGCTTTAAATCTCTCTAGATTACTTATAATACCTCATACGATGTACATGCTATGTAAATAATTGGTATACTGTATTGGTTCAGGAATAATGATTTAAAAAGTCTGTACATGTTCAGTAAAGATGCAACTCTCTTTTTTTTCTGAATATGTTTTAATCTATGATTGGTCGAATCCATGGATGCACAATTCAGGGATATGGAGGGCCAACCGTAACTGTATATGCAGAACTCATCCATGCACATCAGCCGTCAGTTCCATGTTTTAGAGCAGCAGTCCCCAACCTTTTTGGCACCAGGGACTGGTTTAGTGGAAGACAGTTTTATCCACAGACTGGGGGCAGTGGTAGATTCGGGATGATTCAAGGGCATTACATTTATTGTGCACTTTATTTCTATTATTAATACATTGTAATATATAATGAAATAAGTGCAACTCACCATAATGTGGAATCAGTGGGAGCCCTGAGCTTGTTTTCCTGCAACTAGATGGTCCTATGTGGGAGTGATGGGAGACAATGACAGATCATCAGGCATTAGATTCTCATAAGGAGCACAATCTAGATCCCTCGCATGTGCAGTTCCACAATAAGGTTCATGCTCCTATGAGAAACTAATGCTGCTACATTAGAGGCGGAATATAGGTGAAGCTTTGCTTGCTCACCCGCCGCTCACTTCCTGCTGTGGAGCCCGGTTCCTAACAGGCCACGGACTGGTACTACTAGCTGGTATCAATCTGTGGTCCAGGGGTTGGGGACCCTTGTCTTGGAGGACATGGAGATCCTTTTTGTGACACCAAGTCAAAAGTAAATGGCACGTCTCATTCCTGTGGATTTTTGTGGATACGGCTCAAAGTTTGCCTGTGTTTCCACCCCCCTAGATCCGTGAGAAAGTGGCATCCTGCAAACCTGTGGCCACCGCTCTAGATACTGCTGTTGATGTCTTTCTGTGTAGCTACATTATCGACCCCCTGGTAAGATTTCGTCTTTCAAAAGAAGACGCAATGAATCCATCGTCTTCGGTTGTTTTTCTGAATTGTGATGGACACTTTAATAATGTTTTCTGCTTGAGGGAATCCAAAACCTAAAATGCAACATCTTGATCAATGTATTAATATGCTAATAGACTAGAAAAGTCAAAATTCTGGGCGGTTATCTTTTTTCCTTACCAGGATTATATTTACCAGTCAGGAAACCTGCAGGGAGAAAACTCCTATTAGTTCAGAATAATCAGAAAGACAGTCACGGGTGTGCAGATTTCTAATCTTCAAAAGAATACTCAGTACAACTACATATACAACCCCAAAGTTGCACCAAACTTCATTTGTCATTAAAAAGTCTTGGAAATGTGACTATCGGGATGGCAAGTTCCAGTTAATCAGGCTTAATCCTCAGCTCTGTTCCCTCCTCAATAGACGCTGACTCTCTGTGAGCGGATCCTCTCCCTCTGCTGAAAGCACCTCAGTGGCTTCCCGTTGCTATCTGAAGATCAGGATCCTTCATAGGTCATCACACTAGGCTCTGCATGGCTGGGCCTCCCCATTCCAGATCTCACTGTGTGCTCTCTGCCTGCCTGCCTTTCTTTCTGTGCTCCAGACACATTCATCTGCTTTCACTTTGTCAAATACATCTCATTTTCCTCACCTTCGGGCCCATGCACATGCCGTTTCTTCTGCCTGGACTGGAGATGGGCACATACCACCCTTCTCTTTCTCTCTCCTCTTCCCCTTTCCACCTACCCACTCCCCACTGTAAGACCTAACTCCTCTAGGTCTGGTAACGCAATGGTGGAGAACATGAAGTCTGAATGAAAATTCCACTTCTATATTTTCAGAACTTTGTGACTTTGAAAAATTACTGAAATTTTCTGAGTTCCTCGCCTACATGGGGCTCTTTGATGGTTCAGTGAGAGGTCACATGTAAAGCCCTTCACGCTGTTGGAACATCAACGTTCAATGAATATTCACTACTATTGTAGTTCAGTCTTCAGGTCTTAGCTCAAACATGTCTTTTTTCCAGGAAGACTTTTCTGATTCCCTAAACTAGGTTGGGTTCCGTTTTCCTCATTCCTGTAGAACTCTATGCTTTTCCTTTAGAGTTGTTATTGCTGTTTCAATTACATGTTTATATGTTTCTTTGATTAAGACCCGTCCCTCCAGCACACTCTAGACTCTCCACTCCATGAGTCACCAGTGCATTCAAGGCTGTGCCCCTGTTGTCTGGCATAATACCTGGCACAGAGTATCACTGATGCGTTGTCAGGTGGCATCAGTTGTTGTCTCTGTCACAGTTCATCCCTATTGCCCTGTCTGTCCATCTCCCTCATTCACTTGTCCATCTGTCTGCTGGAGGGACTTTCATGCCTGAGTGAAAAGGATTCTGCCACCAACCCAACCACGCAGACTCTGAGCCCTGCTTCCTGGATGCTTCCTTCCTCTAGCAACTACTCTTTTTTGTCCTGTGCTTGGTGGCCCTTGCCGTCAGCTTTGGCTGAAGCCTTCATTAGGGGAGTCCAACCTGCTTGATTCTGAATTGACCTCTCTTTATGTCCAGCCTCCACCACCCACCCCATTCAGTCGAACCACGTAGGCACCAGATGCCTCTCCATAGATCCAGGGACAGAGGGGAGGCCTAGAGGCTGCTCAGGAAGATCAGAGGCTGAAGCTGTATAGCAGAGGGTTTACATCATAAGGAAGAGCTCTGGGCATCCATTTAGTCAATCAGATAGACTGTGGACTAGCTCACATGTTTATTTTGTATCTCAGTTGTCCTCAAAAGGATTGAGGCAGCTTCCAGAAAAAAGGATAGGGTCATTATAAAGTTATAAAGCTTCTCAAGACAAGGTTGAAAACAGAAATCTAACGGACCATAGAGGGAAGGGAAAACAAATTGACTAGAAGTTAAGAGCCAAGAGATGCCACCTCTGTAATTCTGAACTCAGCCAGGAGATAAGCAGAAATGCAGGGTCAAGCTGTGAGGGTGAAGCAGGTGTTATTTCCAAGTGGCATTTGGCCTCATGGTGGGCTGGGGAGAGTCGTTCTACTGTTACTGACAGCATTATCTTAAGGCAGGGATATCGTCAGACTTGAACTTACATAGGAACTTGGCAGGTTGCAGATTTACATAGCAGGCCAAGTGTAGGATGCTAGCCAGAGTGGCATTTAGCCCATGACATCTATGCATGGGTCCTGATTGTTTGTCCATAAGGTTAAATCATTTGGAATATCACCTTGCAGATGTGAGTGGTGTGGACTGTGTCACCACTGAGGACAAATGTCCCCTTGAAGGAAGAACCACTTCCAGACTATTGCTTTGTGGGAACAAGGGTTCAATGTTAAGAGATGGAACTTTAGATTTTTGAAGAAAAGATGTAAATCCAGGTTTACGTGTGAAATGTGACCTACAAATGTTGGCAACTATTTAAAAAATTATACTTTAACATTGCTCTTTAGACAAAACATGGTCATCTAGCTTCTATGTACCTTCAAGACTGGTTAAATTAAATGTGGAACATTGAGACCCTAGCATGCAGTGAGCATTGCTTCTAACTTCTTGACACAGTAATGTTATGGAATGAAGATGCAGGCATCTCAACTGCTCAGATGCAGACCAAAGCCAGAAGGGTTAATTTGTCATCTTAATAACAAACAACTCGCCGGGCG